GGTTTTCATGGCACCAGTCAACCATTTTGCAAATCATGGAACGAGTCATTTACAAGTACACAACACCTGTCAATAGCAGGTATGGGATCCACAAGATGCAGCTACATACTGAAACCTAGGCTCCATCTTGCGATAGGCTTAGATATTTAAACTAAATTTGACCCCACATCATAGTTTTCTGTTGAGCCCATGATTTTATCCTTAGCAAAGTGTGAATAGTATATGTTGGACACATTTACAGAAAATTAGTCTTCACCATGAAAATATCTGCCATGAAAATACTCATGATCCCTAACTATTTTTGTTTAGTATACTCGGTGGTCAATTCATAAATTTACATTTGGAAAATATAAAATATACAGTGATTTTCTCCTTTAATCTGTTCACCGGAGGAATACAAGCATTGCGTAATTCATAAAAAGAAAACATGTAAAGAGTAGAAATCATTCAACTATCAAAAAGTGAGACAAGAAATTGTATTGTTCGATTAAATGTATACATATGTAAAAATATATTTATGGTAGTAAATATACATGTACTTATGATATATTCTTCACATTTATTATTGTATTCTACAGTGTATGGTCAGTGATACGAAGAAATTAAAAAGACAATTTTATTTTTATACACTTAATGGAAGCAGCGAAGACCACAAAGTAAATTAGTGCGGTACATAATAGATATTAAAACTAAAGACATGATATGCAATATGTCAGGGGAAGGGTGTGGTCAGTAGATGTGAGGTTATTGGGGAATCAAGGTAGGAAACAGTGGGGTTTTGTGGGTTGGGGAGGGGTGTGGTCAGGCAAGATGGGACAGGATTCATGACTTTTGAACTCACGGCAGTCAGGGTTTAGGGATGAGGCGTGGGTATTGGATGCTATGAAGCAGGGGTCGGTTGGTGTGATGTGGAATCAGATATGTTTGGGTGAGGCGTGATTACTGGGTTGTGACAGGTGAGATCTTTCACAAAGCCACCTTTACTAAGGTTACCTTAGTGACTTACCATCACCTTAGTGACTTACCATCACCTTAGTGACCTACCATCACCTTAGTGACCTACCATCACCTTAGTGACATACCATCACCTTAGTGACCTACCATCACCTTAGTGACCTACCATCACCTTAGTGACCTACCATCACCTTAGTGACATACCATCACCTTAGTGACATACCATCACCTTAGTGACCTACCATCACCTTAGTGACCTACCATCACCTTAGTGACATACCATCACCTTAGTGACCTACCATCACCTTAGTGACATACCATCACCTCAGAGACCTACCATCACCTTAGTGCTTTGAGAAAGGAGGCCCTGGGTTGCAACAACTGAGGGCTTGGGACGAGGTCAGGTGGACTTCCTGCATCATGACTTGGAGGGAAATATTTCCTGGATGGAATTAGGTTTATTGGGTTGGTCGGTGTGATGAGAGATCAAGTGATGGTTGGTGTGGTTGGGTCATGCTGTAGATGACAGGTGAACCTCCATCTCCATGTTTCTGTACAGCAGTAAATATATACATATCTGCCACCACCATGTGCACAAAATTTTAATCTATCATTTTCAAGAGTAAAAAGAACCCAGCTTAATCATCATTTATCACCCAGGACCATGATTACAGTTTGTTTTTTTATAAAAACAACCCATCACCTTGTATTTTTCTCATTCATCCAAAATAGTTTTTGAAAAATGTGGCACTGGCATTGAACAGTTGAGATAATAATATAATGTACACAGACTATTTATACAAATATTTACAAAATAAACATGATACACTGAAAAAAAAAAAATATTCCAATTTTTCTCAAAAGTATATTCCCCGTACTGCCATCCATCAAAGACACCAGGTGGTCAAACAATCCATAAATGCCAGAGTGAGTTGGTTTAATGTAGGCTGGAACAGTATTCCACATATATCAGGGGGGGCAATCATTAGAGATGCGTGTCTGAGATATTTAGTACTTCTGTACAAATCATAAAATGGTCATGCTGCTCACAAACAAATCATAAACAAAGCGAATCATGGTTTGGAACCAACTATCACATTATCCTGGCACAACAAAGGGACATAATTCACTTTGAAATGGGCCACATTGATGCCAGCTAGAATTTGAACAGGCAGCGTTTATCATTCTTAAACACATCCATTATACATTTGGTTAAAAATGGACCAGCCCAATACATATTACTCAAACTTTGATAGGGAAATTTTTAGCATCCATATAAGGTCTGAATGTGATTCATTTTTTGGATAAGTTGTCATGAGAGCAGTATTTAACATTGTTAAGGAACAGAGGCATGTTCAGCTCAATTTTAAGTTAATAAACATAAGTACACGATAAGTTATTGTTCAGTTTTTGATATCACTCATATTCCCCATAAAATGTTCAGTTGTTCATAATAATGTTTTACATAGGAGCCATCCACTACTACAACAGTATCAAATGAAAATATCATTTTTGGATGCTTATGAAATTTATGAAAAATGAAACGCATTCATCATCTTCTTTGCATCAGAAAAATGTTGGAATGAGTTATATACGTACATGTGAAAACAATACTTAACAAGAGGAGTGAGTGAATGTAGTTTTACGCTGCTTTAGCAATATTCCAGCAATATCATGGCGAGGACACCACAAATGGGCTTCACGCATTGCACCCATATTAGGAATTGAACCCAGGACTTAGGTGTGATGAGCAAGAGCTTTAACCACTATCCTACCCAACCGCCCGAAGCAATGTTTCAAGTTTTAGATATCTATAATAACTGTTAATACAAACAAATGTGATTCCCAGGTAGTGATAACCAGATGAATATAGATATGTATATACAATGTATAGGTTTAATGACATGGCTCCGTGACCTTGGAACGGGAATTTCGGACCAGGTTGGTCCTGAGCAAGATCCACATCCAAGATGGTGACCAATGCTGGTTTCATTGGTTGATACTCAACACGAGAGATGCTTGGATGCCATGCTGGGTGTTATACAAAATATTGTGTCCCAGGAAATGCATTAAAAAATAAAATTATGTTGACTGTTGGAAAAATAAAACACAGCCATAAATATTCATTGTTGTGATGTGTTTTTCACCAAAGTTGATAGTTGTAATAAAAACATTTCTAGGTTGCATCAGCCGCTGCCAAAAATATCTGGTCTTGATACAAATTACAGGACCAGCCAAAACATCAAATACTCACATACTCTTCAAAAGAAGGTTTGAAGATTGATATAATAAAAAAAATATCTATTACTGAATGCAATTGTAAAATATCACATTATTAAAAACTTCCAATATATCGTGCCGGTGCCTGGTTTCAACCCTTTATTAATTAGCTAGGTTGTTTTATCCACTAGGCTTTGAAGGATCGCTGTGAAGAAAGAGATTGTTTCTCAGTATGTGTTCCTCACAAGACGGGTAGCGCGCGCAGTGCACGTACATTGGGCTGCAAAGCAAGGTATTGGCTGACAGTCGCATCCATGTTGATTTCAACAGTAAATACCAAATTTTAAAATTATATCCAAAGTATATCTTTGGTTGGTTTATAAGTTGGATCAAAACTGCAGAGTCAGTTTTGTTTGAAACAGTAAGTCCCCGGGAGGGGGAAATTGGGGAGGCCTATCTGCCACTGGCTTACTTTTTAAAACAAAACTGACTCCGAGGTTTTGATCTGACGTACTACTGCCACTCAGGCTGCAGGATATGTATCTGTGGAGGGCATTGGACCAACAATTGTCTGTGAAAGGTGGGAATTAGACCAAGAAGACCGGCATTCGTTCCTGTATTAAGACACTAGGATCGATGACAACCTTTGCAAAGGAGCAAAACAGGCATGGAGCAAAACAGGCATGGCTAACCGGGCAGCCAGTCAGTTTAATGTCAGTGTTCAATTCTTCATAATCCAAACATCAATGTCTTCCCATGGACCCCATGATCACCAAATCTGTGGGATCAACTGACGTGTACGGCAACGTCAACATTCGCAACAGAGACTTGTACAACGCGTTGCTGAAAGAATGGAGAGAATTCCACAGGACAGACTCTGTAGACGTATTATTATTATGTCTCAAAGAGTGATAACAACAACAATAATAATAATAATACAGGGCTCGATTTAGTGCTTTGTTACTTGCACTGGTGCAACCCAGTATTACAAAGTGCAACCTAGTTATGAGTCTAACTTGCACAAGGTGCAAGTCAGTTTTTTGAGAAATAAATCAATGATGAATCTTACATTATAAGCATAAATATGTCAGCTCATTTTTCTTCTAAACTTTGAATAGCTATGGCACCGAGACATTGCTATTCATAGACACGTCTCGGCTATGACAGCTCTTGAAAACAGATATCAGCTGTGTCTCTATGTTGCTATGGTATCATGGGTACTACATCACGGAAATATTTTTATGTGCACCGAAACTTCTGACGTTTTAAACACATATGTTGCAACTGGAATTTGACTGGTGCAACTAGGTCTTTATCGTAGGTTGCACCTGGTGCAAGTAGGTTAACTTATCTGAAATCGAGCCCTGTAATATGGCCAGCAACACTGACCTCCACGCCACATGCTCCAATCACATACAACATGATCAACATTACACGTATTGCCACAGATGACCCAAGCTGCCTGTTAGGCGCTGGAAGTTTAACAACACATGGTGGTGACACTGATATGATCGGGAACATCCCTCCTGGACGTATGTGTCTTGTGACAGGACAATCAGCATCACCATTATGTCTAGAGAACATGTGACTCTCATCTTGCTCAGCTATATCCTTGTTTCAGTCCAACTGAATGAAATACAGTATGTACATTTAACTGAATGAAATGTGTACATTTAACTGAATGCAATACAATCGTCGAAATTTTGTGCATTTCTTTTTTTAAAGTGTATATATAGGGCAATAATCAACACCATGATAACAGAAAACATAACAAATTATACTAAAAATAAACATATGAATATAGGTACACATATTTTAACAAGTCAGAAAATGAAAACAAATGTATTTCGTCTGGAATTTAATACAGGATTCCATTCTCAAAACAAAACAGATGCAATTAACTGAACATTATTACCATGTTGATAAGAAGACTTCTAGTTAAACAGACATAAAAATTCGAATAAAACAATTGATTAAAGAATGTAGAGTGTATCTATACATAGCACTTCACTAGGACGGAATGTTCAACTTACATATCAGTGGTCATCATTCAAATTTCTTAAAAAAATAGGACAGACTATGAAAATGTACATCAGATTAACATAACAAAATGTATGTATATTATTAGAATTGCCTTCATTGTTTCAGTTTCCGTGGACATGTTCTGCTTTCCATCAAGGATTCTGCGTTTCCATGGAAAGGTAAAAATTGCATATGACTTAGATGAGTCCGATGCCAAAATGCAGCCATAATTTTCTGAGAATCCAAACCTGCTGTTGAAATGGATGCTGTGACTATTTAATTATCATTGAAACACTTTTTTACTTGAAAAAGCACACACTGTCAACGGTTCAACGGTTATTGAAACAAGAAGAGTCGTAGCAGTGACTGAGTATAGTCTTACGCTGTTTAGCAATATTCCAACAATATCACGGCGGGGGACACCAGAAATGGGCTTCACACATTGTACCCATGTATGGAATCAAACCCGGGTCTACAGCATAAAAAGCAAACGTTATACCCATTAGACTAACTCACTGTCCCTGGTGTTATAGGAAAGAGCTGGTCCAGCTTCATCATGCTCATGTAACTGTTTTCCATGTAATAAATATTTTCAATGTTAGGGACCATTCATAATTTATGGCTAGGGGGGTGATGATGATTTTAAGGGGGGTCACCCATTTTGTTCTGAGAGGTAGGGGGGTCACCAATTTTGTACACATGTACTAGGGGGTTCACCAATTTTGTACACAATTAATAAGACAAAAATATGATTATAAATTACGGCAAAGGGGGGTCACATATTTTGTACATAAATTTTAAGGGGGGTGTCATTCACATTGTACATGCCTTTCCACGAAAATCATCATCAACCCCCCCTAGCCATAAATTATGAACGGTCCCTTACAAGACATGGCACTGTCATAACAATTTTCAATATTACACCTTCCCATGGTTTATTACTTTTCCTTGTTATACAACATTTTCCCATGTTATAACCCTTTCAAACACTTCTTAAGTATCATTTTCTTATGACACATCACTCCTCTATATAAAACAGTCATAAACTGGTTCTGTGTTCTAACCTATAAGGAATGACCATTACAATGGAATAGTGAATATATAAACTATGTTCTTAACAACTAAAAACAAACACAGTATACAGTAATAAAAAATACATTTCAGGCTATTTCACTAATTCAACATTTTAACAGATGTTGAGTATAAAGGTGAAAATATTTCGAATCAACTCTCGATACAAACAGGGAATGTGGGTCAGTAGTTGAAGTCAGTACAGGAATAAAATGAGTTCCAAACTTTGGATTGGAGCCAGTGCATTCTAGTGGTTATTCTATATCAGTGCAATTCACAGAAATTGTCATTAACACAAGGCCAGTATTGCTCCCTAACTGCGGAGCTTGACATAAGCAGAATCATATACAAGCAAATAATTCCTGTGCCTGGCTAGTGTGTGAGTGAGTTTGGTTTTAGGCCGCTTTTAGCAATATTCCAGCAATATCACGGCAGGGGACCCCAGAAATGGGCTTCATGTGTACCTAGCTGGTATAATAGAAACTCATTTTGCACCACTAATATAATGGACGAATTTGGAAAATCTAGAGTGTGGTAAAAACTGACCTGCCATCTGCAGGGCTGTGACAGGTACTGCTGGAAAAAGGACTGAGGTATACGGCGGAAGAGCTAAGGTATTTGATTGATTTTCACCTTTCATTTCTACCTCTTCTGTTTTCTTCATTGGAGTGATTTGCAAAAGTAGGACAAACTTTAGATCTGCTAATTTGATTGTGTAAGGGTTTCGGACTCTGTGCTCAGTTATGACTTCGGACTGTCACATTTCCCGAGATGTTGAATTCGATGTTCTTGTCTCTAGTAGCGAGTTTGGTACGTCAGATGCTGCCTTTTGATTTCATCAAACTGGAAAAGAGTGAGTGAGTGAGTGAGTGAGGATGGTATGCAGTAATGAGAATGAAGTTTTGAGAAAAACTCTGAAAACTAGCTGGGGGTTTAGCATCTATGGGATTTAGATGATTCACAAAAATGACCCTTGGCCTTATGAAATTCCTGGAATTCCGCGGATCCGCGGAAAATTCTCATCCCTGGGTATGAGCATCAGTCTACGCAACTGGGATATGATGACATCCCGTAAGCCGACTCAAACCCCTCTAATATGAAAATCTCATGGCGATATACACCACTAGTATTATCATAGTAACGTGAAGCCACCTTGCTGAGACTACAACCTTATTCCAACCTTCACTCACCAAATTCCGTTTCCAGTCTTTCGGTGTTTTGAGATCCTGATTGGCTGCATCAGTATTTCCACCGAAGTGTATGAGCATCGTCAGTAGACGCAGGTGCTCCGCTCTGTCCAGCATCTTCATACCTGCCGCAATGTGCAGACTCGTATTCCCGACCTTGTTGGCGCGGTTGATCAGGTCACGTGACCTCCCAACACCAACACTGTCCAGAAAGTGTTCTATGAGGACCACGTCCCGTGTCTCGATCGCCATCATGAGGACTGTTTTGTCACTGCTCTCATTCTAAGAAAAAATAGTACACGGCTCATACACAATGTCAGCTACCAACTTGAACTGACTGACTGACTGAGTTTAGTTTAACGCCGCTTTTAGCAATTTTCCAGCAATATCACGGCGGGGGACACCAGAAATGGGCTTAACACATTGTACCCATGTGGGGAATCGAACCCGGGTCTTCGGTGTGATGAGCGAACGCCTTAACCACTAGGCTACCCCACCGCCCCTACCAACTTGAATGCCTTCCTTTTCAAGCAATATTGTCTTATGCTGCTTTTATTAATATTTCCGTAATATCATGGTACGAGACACCAGAAATGGGCTTCACACATTGTAGCCATGAGTCTTTGGCGTGAAGAGCGCATGTGTATAATTACCTATCATATTAAGGGTCTTTAGAAATAAAAATATTTGTTGAGAAACTGAACCTTAAGTCATGAACTATACACTATAAATTAGGAACTATACATGGAACAGAGAGTGATGTGTTTTGCTTGTTAGCTGATCCAAACACTCAGTAATATTCCAGTCACATGGCAATAAATAAAATGCAAGTGATTCTGGCCCCGGGGTCATGGAAGCGACTTAAGTCTAAAAATTGCTTAAATCTGTCATTTTGATCTTAAGTAAAAAAAATTGTCTTAAATCGGGGATCACGTACATTTTTTAGTCTCAAAAGTTAAGACTGAGAGGTGCACAGGCGCACATTTTGATAAGGTTTGAAAAGTGAACGTTGTGCGAGATTTGCGTTCGCGTGGTCCTGGATCTACGTACGGCTATAAAATTACATAGAAATGTAGAATATTAAATTTCCTATCTGTTGGTATAAATATAAGTGCAACTACCTCGGCGGTTTGAGAAATAGACACTGCTAAATGTTGTCCAAAATTATGTTATGCGTTAAAATAACAGTAAATTTCTCCGCTTGTTATCGTGCACGGATAAAAGCACTGTGCTACGATTGTTAATATATTTGGCATCTTTACGGAAAGTGTGAGCGAAGAAAATACAGCCTGACAACTGAACGACATAAGTATATATGAAATGGGTTTATTTGCTTATGCATAACGTTATACGCTCAACATTAAAAATGACTCGCAATAAATGTCAAAAATGGATTTTCTTGTATGATGTCAATTGACGACAGAGAGGTCATGCACGTATAAATATAAGGGGGCATAACTCTGCTGTGCTTAACAATAGGTCAATGCAACTCAGATCACTTGTAGAACATTTGTTGGAGATACGGGCACTATATTTTCGTTATGTTTTGTTCATGGTGAACCAAACTATTCGCGTACAAATTTCCCCAATGTGAGTGGATATGTTTTGGTAGTTTCACAATTCATAAGACAAGATGACAAAGTAGTACATGAGAAAGCACGTAATAGTGATTTGGATGGCCCTATCCGATATGTAAATTAATTCTTAGATTCACATATTCTCCTGTTTGTGTAGATGTATTTTGACTAATTTTGCATCATTATTAACCCAGTACTAGCCATATCTTCAAACGTAATGAAATTACTGAAAAGATTACAACATTGTAGTTGACGTCATTGCTTGTTTTATGTATTTTGCGACGCCGGACAAAAGACGACATTGGTATGCTGGTCAGTATATACCTCACCTAATTTCCATGAATTGTATAAAAGGTTTCGGTTTCTATGTCAGAATTTAACACTCCTAAAATGACTGATTTTACCATTTAAATAATGTCTTGAATAGATCAATACTAGTAATTAGACGGTTTGACTGTGTATCTTAATATGAACCACACGTGAATATATTTTTTGGGGACAAGAATTTTCTTTGTTTATGACTATGTGGCTATTTCTCTTCACAAGTATACAATAAAAGATGCAAAAACATAGCTCTTTTTGTATGGAACTATCAGAATAATGATGTAAGGTTTGCTCAATGTAAGACATGACATGGTCTATATTCTGTTTACAATTTTCGTAGAAATATAGTTACAGTTTGAAATCCTGTCATTACAATATTTTTTTCCGAATATGAATTGATTGATTATCGAAAATAATGAAAGTGAATCGTAAAATGTTTGTGACAAACGCGCACCCGGACAATCATTATACATCACTGTTTGGTCAATCAAACGAAATAACCAACTTCAATGAACATGACAATTCCTTTAAAAATGTGTGCATATACATTTAATAAAATATCTAAATCATTTTCATTAATATTGTCAGTTTTACTTGTAAGGTTAAATTAATCGCTGTTCATTAACCTGTTCATATGAAACTGTAATATTGGTCCGAATGGCGAATATTGCACTAAAGTACATGTTGCAGTTATGCCTACGTTTGTTCTTCTAATATTTGTTTAAGGGTTTAAAATATGGTGTACTACACTCAGTATGTCAATTTCTTATGTAAATATTATTCAAACAAACAAAAACCTTCAAACAATAAAAACCGTATACCCTATATCCACGGATATAATAAAGAATGAGGCTAAATGTAGATAATGAAATTAGTTTCATGAAAAAATATCTGAACGATACACAAAAAATACATTATATATAACACTGACTGCGTAATCGGGATGATAGGGCAATTGTGTTTGCGCTTGTTCAACCGACCTTCGTCTCAAAGAAATTGCCTAATATGTACAACAATGTTGACGTATGACATCACTACTGTTGACCGATTTCTTACAAAATGGTGGCTTCGCTGACATGGGTACACAGGATTTTGCGAGGACCATTCCCTTGATTCGGGGATCGTTTGTACATAAATGTGTGATGTAAGTAATCAGAATGAATCTGACTATCTGTGTATTGTTATATATTTTATCGTTTTCATTGTAAGTACGAGAAGAAGCCAGATATGCCAATCATTATCGCTGTCATGCTGCGAGATTTTCCGTCAGTCATGGTGTCCAGATGCACAGAAACTTTGACAATTTGTATAAACATATCACATTACTGTATTGTATCTATTTTTAATTTGCTATTTCTTGCTATGATACTATATTTCCATGTATGTTCTAAAAGTATTGAGCCTATGCATGCTACAAATCGAGGAATGGGTGTCTAAAATTTGAGAAAATGCTACACAGTGTAAAGTCTGAATTTTTCTTTGTTTACATTTCAACAAGTGCTGTCTTTCACGCACAGCTTTTGTTTTCATGCCCAATATCTTTCGCTTCATATCACCTAGACACTTGGCTTTAGTGACAAAGACCATTTCTTATTTGATACTAAAATGTATCAAATTCAGTGATGCATTTGTTGCAGCTGAATATGAAATATACACGTGATGTAATAGGCATCTCAATACCGGCCTTCGCGAAACGTGATTTTGTAAACACTATCCAATGCAATATGGCAGAAAGCGCACTTAGGCATTCGTGTTGGTGTAATTTCGAAAACATCCCAACCGTAAAGACACTAAAATTCACCGCAGCAGGGATAAAAGCGTCAGTTGACTTGTTTGGAATATTTCAGCAGGTGCCTGCTACTAAACTATTCTCCTCAATTATGAGTGACCGGACATGATTACATCATTCTAAAATTACCATGGTAACTGTCTTAGTCTTAGTCTTAGCTAAGATTTTGCTGAGAGTGTTTCATGATTCAGTCTTATCTACAATCTTAGCTAAGCAAAATTTTTTAGACATAAGATTTTTTTGTGCTAAGCAAATTTTAGACTTAAGATTTTTTCATGATCCCGGGGCCTGGACATTTGATTGATTAACAAAGCAATTCTTTCTTCAAATATTTCCATAAATATACAAACAATTAGGCTATGCCTATTGACTGCTGTTTCTGGTGTGCTTGTTCTGTATCTTTTATCTAGTATCGTTTTATTCCACCGAACAAAGTCACTGACATGACCTCGTCCAGTTGATGGGGAACAGTTTGAGCCCAGATTACAGATTCCTACTCGTTTACCACACGTAAATACTTATTGCAAAGAATGGATGCTTACAAATCTATCAATACATGCACCGTGGCCCAACAGGAGATGAATAATTTCACGTCTATCTCGCTCCCCGTTGCCCGGTATGTGTCCATGGAGCGCGCTAACATCAGGGGTGTCTTCTCTGAAACAATAAACCAACAAGATCTCTTATCTTACCTTCATGTGAAATACTTTAATTTCAATGACGCTTTAACAAGTTTCCATGTCATCCCTCCCAGGAGGGTGACAACTGGATGAAAACTTACCCGCTGCCACGGTAACCGCCAAACTCTCCGCTGAGAAGCTGTATCGCTAACAACTGTATGACGTCGTATTATGACGCATGCAGTGCCCGGAGGTCGAAAACCATTCGATCAGCTGTTTTTTAGTTCACTATGTCCAGATTTATTTTATCGATTATAGATATATTATTTAAACTATTTTACACATTGAGTTGTTTGCACACTCAACTTAAAACATAGTTAACCATTTGTAAAGCAGTTTTAAGCTTGTCAGATTATGTTTCATTGATTTGAAAAAATCCAGTCGAGAGGCAGACGCCATTTTGTTTACATGTCACATAGTCGGTATAGTACGTTTGGCTCAAAATCAGACCGATGAGTTGCAATCTAACTCGAAAACTACCAAACATATAGTACTCATTGAAACACTGATCATAATAAAAACATCAGACCAACTCTGTGATTTTTTTGCAGAATTCTTTACCTAAAAATAAAATAGTTGTTTAACAAACTAGCATTAAAATTTTGACACAGTTCACTATTTGTTACGAGGGAGGACAGCAAAGAGGAACAGCCAGGTTTGTTAATAACTTTTTTATTTTTAGGACATAAATTCTGCAAAACAATCACAGGGTTGGTCTGATGTTTTGATTATGATCAGTGTTTCATTGAGTACTATATGTTTAGTAGTTTTCGAGTTGTATTGCAATTCATCGGTTCGATTTTGAGCCAAACGGACTATATTGATCTTTAAAATAAAATAACATGATATTTTGTATATTTAACATCGCGGTAAGATAAATACGTCATATACTTTTCCCTCGGGTAATATGGTCTGATGTACGCCTCTTTGTAGCAGTGTCATCCCTCACCTTCCGGCTCGTGCGACACTGCTACAAAGAGGCTACATCAGACCGTATTACCCTCGAGAGAAGCATACAACTTATGATGTCGTTGGTTGGTTAGTTTGCTGGTTTGTTGTCTAAGGCCGCACTCAGCAATATTCCAGCTCTATGGCGGTGGTCTGTAAATAATCAAGTCTGGAACAGACAACCAGTGACCAACAGCATGAGCATCGATCTGCGCAAAATAGTGATACGATGGCACATGTCAACCTGGTCAGCGAGCCTGACCACCCGATCCCGTTAGTTGCCTTTTATGACAAGCAGGGGTTACTGAAGATCAATTCTAACCCGGATCTTCACGGGTTAGATATCATGTAGATCACCCTGACAGGAAGACTATTTCTGTGACCGTCAGTTAAATTAAACATTCATAGGACTAGCAATTAATGACTGAAACATTGATACCCTTTGACAGTTTTTATACAGTCTAGCACCGTTGTGTCGAACTCTGCTAACGCTATATCTTGGTTGTCTCGACATAACATCTTGGTCCCGGCAAAATCCTTCATAATGTATCATTATTCAAGCTCTTTTAACTTGATACAGATGTCTCGATATTTCGGATATCTCGATATAATTTCATGGTCCCAACAAGCAAAATTACCCTCTTAATTTGATATTTGCAAAGGAACTTGATATTCACCAACCTTTCATGGGCAAGTATCCCTCTGAACTGAGGTTGTTTCCACATGTTTACACACGGTGTGGCATAAATCAAAGGGATGCGGTAGTGTAAACTAATTAGGGCTAATTCAGTTGAAGGTGTCACTTGTTTGTTATTTAATTAGGATTAATTAAGAAGGAATTAATTAGGTAGTACTCACTGCTACGACTAAATACTACTCGTTTCGAATATCAAAACATACTGAGAAGCATTAAACTTTTTGTTTTCTTTCATGGATATGCCCTGGTGGGATGTCTCGAAGTTCGGATAACTTGATATTTTTTCTTGGTCCCATGACTATAGTGACAAAGGTGCTCGACTGTACTTGTAAAACATACTATTTTCAGTCCATTGAAACTCAGTTGCAGGTTAGACTTGCTGACGGGGTCAGATGTGTACCCCAGCTGAAATCAGAATACAGAAACATACCCTATGACGAGTCCATTACACACTGTGTCGTTTTCTTGATCTGAACTGTCATACTGTTGTATTAGATGCGTTGGATTGCATTATATAAGAAATGACCATACACAGTACGTATGTTTCTCACTCAACAACTCAACTCACACACTCAACCAATCAACTCACTCAACCAACCATCCACTAACCCACTCAACTCACCTATACACACTCAACACACTCACTCACTCAATCACCCACCCACCCACCTTCACTCACTCATGATAAGACTACTCACTATCACACCCACCCACCTTCACTCACTCATGATAAGACTACTCACTATCACACCCACCCACCTTCACTCACTCATGATAAGACTATCACACCACCCATCACACTCACTATCCACACCCACCCACCTTCACTCACTCATGATAAGACTACTCACTATCACACCCACCCACCTTCACTCACTCATGATAAGACTACTCACTATCACACCCATCCACCTTCACTCACTCATGATAAGACTACTCACTATCACACCCACCCACCTTCACTCACTCATGATAAGACTACTCACTATCACACCCACCCACCTTCACTCACTCATGATAAGACTACTCACTATCACACCCACCCACCTTCACTCACTCATGATAAGACTACTCACTATCACCCACCCACCCACCTTCACTCACCTCATGATAAGACTACTCACTATCACACCCACCCACCTTCACTCACTCATGATAAGACTACTCACTATCACACCCACCCACCTTCACTCACTCATGATGAAGACTACTCACTATCACACCCACCCACCTTCACTCACTCATGATAAGACTACTCACTATCACAAGACCTTATGATAAGACTCACTCACTATCACACCCACCCACCTTCACTCACTCATGATAAGACTACTCACTATCACACCCACCCACCTTCACTCACTCATGATAAGACTACTCACTATCACACCCACCCACCTTCACTCACTCATGATAAGACTACTCACTATCACACCCACCCACCTTCACTCACTCATGATAAGACTACTCACTATCACACCCACCCACCTTCACTCACTCATGATAAGACTACTCACTATCACACCCACCCACCTTCACTCACTCATGATAAGACTACTCACTATCACACCCACCCACCTTCACTCACTCATGATAAGACTACTCACTATCACACCCACCCACCTTCACTCACTCATGATAAGACTACTCACTATCACAGACACGCTGCAGGTCAATGTCCTGGCCTTCGTCAGACAGCAGACGCCACACCATCTGTGTGTCCCCGAGTTCGATGGCCTTATGCAGGGGGGCTTGCATTGTGTCACTCTGGAGACAGTCGTCATGGCAATCAATAAGCATGAATGATACAGATCGACATCTACAGCAATGCTCAAACTAGCTGCCTGTTAGTGACTCATAAATTGTTCCAGTAACACTTCCACCCATCTACCCTGACTGACCAATGCAAAATTCTAGTTGATAATTTGGATGGTTGGTCGGTTGTTCAACACCGCACTCAGCAATATTCCATCTATATGGCGGTGGTCTGTAAATATTTTAGTCTGGACCAGACAGTCCAGTAATAAACATCATGAGCATCGATCTAATTCGATTGAATTGGAATACAGTGACATTTATCTTACCTCACACATAAATGTCGCTCTCTGATTGGCTGAGTGGTCTTCTATTATTTTCAATGTACCCCGCTTACAAGCAAGTAACATTTCAATATACCCCTGTTGTCAATGGCAACTCATTTGGTACTTCATGGTAGGAATTCTTTATCTCCAATAACACTGAATCACATATGATGTATGGAAATAACCGATGTTTTGCGAATGCAAATCGATGGAAGGGAGATAACTCTAAATCTGTTTTTCTTGTCGGCAAGTTCTAGCGATGGCTACAAAAAGATTTGTACCCGTGCTTCAAACAATTCAAAATAAACATTAAGGTGTTCGGTAAGATAAATACGTTGTTCACTGGTCCCTCAGGGCCCATGGATTGATGTACCCTCGATGTTTGTTTATGGAACATAAACAAACATCAAGGGTACATCAACCCACGCACTCCTCGTGAACAACTTATAGTGTCAACCCTGTCAGCGAGCCTGACCACCCAATCCCATTAGTCACCTTTCCAATCCTTAGGGTTAGGGTTAGGGTTAGGGTTGGGGAACCTTTCCAATCCTTAGGGTTAGGGTTAGGGTTAGGGTTGGGGAACCTTTCCAATCCTTAGGGTTAGGGTTAGGGTTGGGGAACCTTTCCAATCCATAGGGTTAGGGTTAGGGTTGGGGAACCTTTCCAATCTTTAGGGTTAGGGTTAGGGTTAGGGTTGGGGAACCTTTCCAATCCTTAGGGTTAGGGTTGGGGAACCTTTCCAATCCTTAGGGTTAGGGTTAGGGTTAGGCAACCTTTCCAATCTTTAGGGTTAGGGTTAGGGTTGGGGAACCTTTCCAATCCTTAGGGTTAGGGTTAGGGTTGGGGAACCTTTCCAATCCTTAGGGTTAGGGTTGGGGAACCTTTCCAATCCTTAGGGTTAGGGTTAGGGTTGGGGAACCTTTCCAATCCTTAGGGTTAGGGTTGGGGTTGGGGAACCTTTCCATTCCTTAGGGTTAGGGTTGGGGAACCTTTCCAATCTTTAGGGTTAGGGTTAGGGATAGGGATAGGGTTAGGGTTAGGGTTAGGGTTGGGGAACCTTTTCAATCCTTAGGGTTAGGGTTAGGGTTGGGGAATCTTTCCATTCCTTAGGGTTAGGGTTAGGGATAGGGTTAGGGTTGGGGAACCTTTCCAATCCTTAGGGTTAGGGTTGGGGAACTTTTCCAATCCTTAGGGTTAGGGTTAGGGTTGGGGAACCTTTCCAATCCTTAGGGTTAGGGTTAGGGTTGGGGAACCTTCCCAATCCTTAGGGTTATTGTTAGGGTTGGGGAATCTTTCCAATCCTTAGGGTTAGGGTTGGGGAACCTTTCCAATCCTTAGGGTTAGGGTTAGGGTTGGGGAACCTTTCCAATCCTTAGGGTTAGGGTTAGGGTTGGGGAACCTTTCCAATCCTTAGGGTTAGGGTTAGGGTTGGGGAATCTTTCCAATCCTTAGGGTTAGGGTTAGGGTTGGGGAACCTTTCCAATCCTCAGGGTTAGGGTTGGGGAACCTTTCCAATCCTTAGGGTTAGGGTTAGGGTTGGGGAACCTTTCCAATCCTTAGGGTTATTGTTAGGGTTGGGGAATCTTTCCAATCCTTAGGGTTAGGGTTAGGGTTGGGGAACCTTTCCAATCCTTAGGGTTAGGGTTAGGGTTGGGGAACCTTTCCAATCCTTAGGGTTAGGGTTAGGGTTAGGGTTAGGGTTGGGAATCTTTCCAATCCTTAGGGTTAGGGTTAGGGTTGGGGAATCTTTCCAATCCTTAGGGTTATTGTCAGGGTTGGGGAATCTTTCCAATCCTTAGGGTTAGGGTTAGGGTTGGGGAACCTTTCCAATCCTTAGGGTTAGGGTTGGGGAACATTTCCAATCTTTAGGGTTAGGGTTAGGGTTGGGGAATCTTTCCAATCCTTAGGGTTAGGGTTGGGGAACCTTTCCAATCCTTAGGGTTAGGGTTAGGGTTGGGGAACCTTTCCAATCCTTAGGGTTAGGGTTAGGGTTGGGGAATCTTTCCAATCCTTAGGGTTATTGTCAGGGTTAGGGAACCTTTCCAATCCTAAGGGTTAGGGTTGGGGAATCTTTCCGATCCTTATGGTTAGGTAAATATCATATCTGGGTCTAACCCCCAAAAGGCACATCTAGGGATCATGCTTGATATGTGTCCCAAGTTTGATGAAGCTAGCATGTATAGTTTGGGAGATCTGCTCCGGACAAGATGACATCCTCATAGTCACAGCCTAAGGCATGTTTCCATGGTAACCGCAAAAAATTAAATTTCGCATCTGGGTCTAACCTCCAAAAGGCACATCTAGGGATCATGGTTGACACGTGTATGAAGTTTGGTTAAGCTATCATGAATAGTATAGGAGATATGCTTCGGACAAAGCGTGACAGACACACGGACGGACGGAACTCGTTTCTGTGAATGGGGAGGGCGTGGTACAGTGAGTGATTGTGTTCTTGCTTTCTTTGCAAACAACAACTGTTCAAATGATGAGTTCTCACCTTACGTTCCACACACTGGATGTTGGGATCGGCCCCGATCTCCAGCAGGAAGTCCATGATCTCATATTTCCGCAACATTACAGCAATGTAGAGGGCAGTCTGTAAAACATAACCATTTATTAAAGGGGGACAAGCACGGCAAGTTTTATACAAGTCAAGCACAAATGGTTTCCTGAATCAGATGACAAGTACGTCGGTTAAATTTCCCAAATGAAATAATTTCCCAACAGACATGACACAGTAGTAAATAATGACATTTATTTGTACAAATGACTTTATCACAGATCTATTTGCACCATTCATAGCTTGTCAAAAAAACCTGCCTTTAACATAATGGTACCTGCATAATAGTCAGTGAGTGAGTTTAGTTTTATGCCACACTCAGCAATATTCCAGCTATATGGTGGCAGTCTGTAAATAATCAAGTCTGGACCAGACAATCCAGGGATGAGCATGAGCATCGATCTGCGCAATTGAGATATGATGGATGACATGTGCCAACCCAGTCAGCGAGCCGTTACTCGCCTCTTACGACAAGCATGGGTTACAGATGATCAATTCTAACCCGGATCTTTACGGGTGTACTTACATAATACATAACGTAACTTAATGTAACATAACATTTTTAATTTCAAAGGACCTTCATACCAAACACTGACAGGTTTATGCAACATAATTGCAGATTTGTTTAAAAAAACACCCTGCCTAATCACCCTTGAAATCAACTTGCATCAAAACAAGAACATTATTTTAACAATGAACACTCACCTGCCGCTGATGATTGAGATTGTTGACATTGTTTTCAACTAATTGTTTGTTGTCTCGGTAGATTTCTTGGACCTGATCAAATCCCAGATCCGCAAAGTAATGAACCACTCTGTTGAACAAGAAACACATTTACAGATCAAATAAAGGGAAAATGTATGGACATCCACATCTGTAATATGAGGAACTTGACTGGCTTCCTATTGCTAAAGGGGCGGTGGGGAAGCCTAGTGGTTAAAGCGTTCACTCGTCATGCCAAAGACCTGAGTTCGATTCCCCACATGGGTGCAATGTGTGAGACCCATTTCTGGTGTCCCCCGCCGTGATATTGATGGAATATTGCTAAAAGCGGGGTAAACCATACTCACTCACTTCAGCTGTAATGAAATCACTTCTTTACTTAGAAACTTCGTCTCATGCAAGACAACTTTCAACAATGAGCCCCATGTTTCCAGCTATCTAGTACATGTCGTATTTAATGAGTCTCGATATGGCTGAGATATTGCCGATGTGACGTTAAATATTAATATTGGAATATTGCTAAAGGTGGCATAAGATTCTTGTAAGTTTACACAGTTTACATTTTTGGCCAATAAAAACATTAGGATTTTATTTTTTGAGCAGGTAAAATTAATTTTTATTTTTATTCTTATTCTTGAAAAAATATGACTAGCAGATCCATAAAACAAGAAATAAAATTGGTCTGGCCTAGATATGGTATGCAACTTGGCACAACTTAGCCACCAGTGCCCTTTTAAGATTTATTAACCGAAGAGAAAACACTTACGTGTCCTCATCATGACTTATGTCCTCATCGTCCTCATCAGAATACTCTGTGGAGCATGATGGACTTGGCCCATGAGGACTATGATGACTGGAGGCACTGGAACATGGAGATCCTCCTGGAGCTTCTCCAGGATTGGTACACCTTCCATCCTGGCCAGGTGAGAGCTTGTCTGGACACGAGGGAAAAACTGGGTCTTGTCCACAGGGTGGGTTGTTCTGGAGACCTGACAAGCTTTCTGGAGGTCCCTGAAAGACTGGAGCTCCTCGACATGGTGCCTGGTGCTGATCTGGTGAAAACCTTTCTGGAGGTCCCTGAAAGACTGGAGCTCCTCCACATATTGCCTGGTGCTGATGTGGTGAAAATCTTTCTGGAGGAGGCTGAAAGACTTGAGCTCCTCCACATGGTGCCTGGTGCTGATCTGGTGAAAATCTTTCTGGAGGAGGCTGAAAGACTTGAGCTCCTCCACATATTGCCTGGTCCTGATCTGGTGAAAACCTTTCTGGAGGTCCCTGAAAGACTGGAGCTCCTCCAAATAGAACCTTATTTTGATCTGGTGAGACCCTTTCCGTGGGTGGCTGAAAGACGAGAGCTTCTGGAGGTGGCCGAAACACTGGAACTTGTCCACATAGAGTCTTGTTCTGGTTAGGCGAGAACCTTTCTTGTTTTGAATGACAGACTGGAGCCTCTCCATGACATGCACCATTTTGATCAGGCAAGAACCCAAACTGTTGATGGCTTGAGCCTGCATTCTTGACCCTTGTGCCATGACCCAACACGGAGTCTCTGTCTTTGCCTGGTTGGAACAAGAGCCTGGATTGGCTGGATCCTGTATTCTGTTGTTTAAAGTCAGGAGTGTCAGTTCTTGAGAACTCTGGCTTTGGAGCTGAAATGTCCTCAAAGAAAGTAAGGCAAGGGCTGTTAGATGAGGGATAGGTCACTGTTGGTGGGTAAGCTGGACTATTGTTCTGTATGACAGTGTGTTTATTTAGCTGCCCATCACTACAATGAGGATACTGCAACGATCCTGACCGACTTCCACAAAGCAAAAAATCCATTATGTGGTCTTCACTGGATGTGGAATTCGGCAACAGCATCTGTGATGTGATGTCGTCGGTGTTCGGCACCACCTGGGCCGGCGAACTCCCGCTGGAGGGATGTGAAGTAGTCTGCAACCAATCAGATTGACCGTTCTTCAAAATGGAACCACAATTATCAGCAGTTGATTCCATGCTGGGAATGGACATCCGGGGTATCGATCCGTCTCCATCTGTCTCCAAGTCATTTTTGAGGATAGAGATGATATCGTCTAGTTTCACCATCTCTGTTTCAGACAGCTCCATACCTATCTGGGAACCGTCCAGTCTTCTTGGAGTTCCAGATGGAACTCCTCCAGGATAGGGCGGTGGTAGTGTCTGACGAGGCTCCGGTGTTCCTAGGTTCATAACATGGCCTTCTGGATGAATATTTTGAGCTGATCCTGAACCAGTTACACCATATAAATGAAAATTGTCCTGAGAAACAACTTGAGGCGCAGGTATGTACTGTTGTCCAGCTCGAACCGGCTGTTGACGCTGATGATGTTGCCGTCGTTGTTGCTGTGACTGTGGGGGAGATGATCGTTGTTGGGGAGATGGACGCTGATAGGGATGACCGGGGTATGGAGGAGGAGGGGGCATCGGAACCTGGCCATCTGTCTGCATAACACCCCCATGTCTCATCATCCGGGGGATCAGTCCATCCACCTCATCTCTTTTTCCTCGTGGTAACTGGTGGTTAACAAGAAGAAAAGTTATCAGGGTTGAATGGAAACATCATAGTATGAATGTTAACAAATATTGTTAATGATAACAGTTCGGTAGCACATGGTAAAAAATGTTAGTAGTGCAGTTATTGTGTTGGATGTTAGCAGTGCAGTTATTATAAGGGTAATGCTATTTTTCAGGGCATTATCATTTGCAGAAGCCCTAGGTCTTCCATTCCCTCCCTGACGAAGGAGGGCAGTTGAAAAGACCAAGGGCTTCTGCAAATGATAATGCCCTGAAAATAATACTGTTATTATAGCTAAAACGGATAGAATTTTAAAAAAATAAAACAAACAAAGGTATCGGTTTTGAAGCATTTACGGCTAACAACAAACGACGGAGGTCACTGACACACTTTTTAAAAACATGGAAACGTCATAGAACAAAACAGATGACGTCACTATTGAAGTGATGACATTCGACCTTGACCTTTACCCATAGTTACCAGCTGCCATTTGCTCAACAACATTACAGTTCCAGTCGGTGTTTTCATTGCTGCATGTTGTAATTTATGGTACAATTGTTAAGGTTGGCACCGGCAAGAAAGTACATAATGGCACAAGTACATGAGATGAATGTGAGTCAGAAATATCGTCAATATTGAACCCAAGTTCAAATGAGCTGTAGGTGATTGAACATCAAGAGCCAAGCTCCTTATGACGTCACCTAACAAAGGACATGATAATGGCCCGTCGTGAAGCAGTTTTGGGGGCATTATCAAGTTACAGTGGCCCACTCATTTCTGATAACATGCGGGCGTTTTAATGATAATTCTATCCATTTTAGCTATAATGTGTTGAATGTTAACAGTGCAGTGTGTTGAATGTTAACAGTGCAGTTATTGTGTTGAATGTTAACAGTGCAGTTATTGTGTTGAATGTTAACAGTGCAGTTATTGTGTTGAATGTTAACAGTGCAGTTTATTGTGTTGAATGTTAACAGTGCAGTTAGTTGAATGCTAACAGTGCAGTTATTGTGTTGAATGTTAACAGTGCAGTGTGTTGAATGTTAACAGTGCAGTTTATTGTGTTGAATGCTTACAGTGCAGTTATTGTGTTGAATGTTAACAGTGCAGTGTGTTGAATGTTAACAGTGCAGTTTATTGTGTTGAATGTTAACAGTGCAGTTTATTGTGTTGAATGTTAACAGTGCAGTGTGTTGAATGTTAACAGTGCAGTTAGTTGAATGCTAACAGTGCAGTTATTGTGTTGAATGTTAACAGTGCAGTTTATTGTGTTGAATGTTAACAGTGCAGTTAGTTGAATGCTTACAGTGCAGTTATTGTGTTGAATGTTAACAGTGCAGTGTGTTGAATGTTAACAGTGCAGTTTATTGTGTTGAATGTTAACAGTGCAGTTTATTGTGTTGAATGTTAACAGTGCAGTGTGTTGAATGTTAACAGTGCAGTGTGTTGAATGTTAACAGTGCAGTTTATTGTGTTGAATGTTAACAGTGCAGTTATTGTGTTGAATGTTAACAGTGCAGTTTATTGTGTTGAATGTTAACAGTGCAGTTAGTTGAATGCTTACAGTGCAGTTATTGTGTTGAATGTTAACAGTGCAGTGTGTTGAATGTTAACAGTGCAGTTTATTATGTTGAATGTTAACAGTGCAGTTATTGTGCTGAATGTTAACAGTGCAGTTATTGTGTTGAATGTTAACAGTGCAGTTTATTGTGTTGAATGCTAACAGTGCAGTTATTGTGTTGAATGTTAACAGTGCAGTGTGTTGAATGTTAACAGTGCAGTTTATTGTGTTGAATGTTAACAGTGCAGTTTATTGTGTTGAATGTTAACAGTGCAGTTTATTGTGTTGAATGTTAACAGTGCAGTTATTGTGTTGAATGTTAACAGTGCAGTTAGTTGAATGTTAACAGTGCAGTTATTGTGTTGAATGTTAACAGTGCAGTGTAGTTGAATGTTAACAGTGCAGTTATTGTGTTGAATGTTAACAGTGCAGTTTATTGTGTTGAATGTTAACAGTGCAGTTATTGTGTTGAATGTTAACAGTGCAGTTAGTTGAATGTTAACAGTGCAGTTATTGTGTTGAATGTTAACAGTGCAGTTAGTTGAATGCTAACAGTGCAGTTATTGTGTTGAATGTTAACAGTGCAGTTAGTTGAATGCTTACAGTGCAGTTATTGTGTCGAATGTTAACAGTGCAGTTATTGTGTTGAATGTTAACAGTGCAGTTAGTTGAATGCTAACAGTGCAGTTATTGTGTTGAATGTTAACAGTGCAGTTATTGTGTTGAATGTTAACAGTGCAGTTAGTTGAATGCTAACAGTGCAGTTATTGTGTTGAATGTTAACAGTGCAGTTATTGTGTTGAATGTTAACAGTGCAGTTAGTTGAATGCTAACAGTGCAGTTATTGTGTTGAATGTTAACAGTGCAGTTATTGTGTTGAATGTTAACAGTGCAGTTAGTTGAATGCTAACAGTGCAGTTATTGTGTTGAATGTTAACAGTGCAGTGTGTTGAATGTTAACAGTGCAGTTTATTGTGTTGAATGTTAACAGTGCAGTTTATTGTGTTGAATGTTAACAGTGCAGTTTATTGTGTTGAATGTTAACAGTGCAGTTATTTTGTTGAATGTTAGCAGTTTTTTGTTGAATGTTAACAGTGCAGTTAGTTGAATGCTAACAGTGCAGTTATTGTGTTGAATGTTAGCAGTTTTTTGTTGAATGTTAACAGCACAGTAACTGTGTGTTAACAGTGCAATAACTGTATTGAATGTAGACAGTGTGGCACACCACTGTGTTGAATGTTGAAAGTGCAGTACAAATAGATGTCAAATGGTGGGGGTGCAGTATAACGTGATGTTGAAAGTTATGCATTGTGTTGAACACGGACAGTGGAACACAACCTGTTATTGAATGTTGACAGTACAGTACTATAGGGTGTTGAATGTTGACAGTGGAGCACAACCTGGTATTGAGTACTATAGGGTGTTGAATGTTGACAGTGCAGTACTATAGGATGTACAATAATGACAGTGCAGTACTACAGGGTGTTGACTGCTGACAGTACAGTACTATAGAGTGTTGAATGTTGACAGTGCAGTACTATAGAGTGTTGAATGTTGACAGTGCAGTACTATAGAGTGTTGAATGTTGACAGTGCAGTACTATAGAGTGTTGAATGTTGACAGTACAGTACTATAGAGTGTTGAATGTTGACAGTACAGTACTATAGAGTGTTGAATGTTGACAGTGCAGTACTATAGAGTGTTGAATGTTGACAGTGCAGTACTATAGGATGTTGAATGTTGGCAGTACAGTACTACAGGGTGTTGAATGTTGACAGTACACTACTATAGAGTGTTGAATGTTGACAGTGCAGTACTATAGAGTGTTGAATGTTGACAGTACAGTACTATAGAGTGTTGAATGTTGACAGTGCAGTACTATAGAGTGTTGAATGTTGACAGTGCAGTACTATAGGATGTTGAATGTTGACAGTACAGTACTATAGGATGTTGAATGTTGACAGTGCAGTACTATAGGATGTTGAATGTTGACAGTACAGTACTATAGAGCGTTGAATGTTGACAGTGCAGTACTATAGGATGTTGAATGTTGACAGTGCAGTACTATAGGATGTTGACTGTTGACAGTACAGTACTATAGAGTGTTGAATGTTGACAGTACAGTACTATAGGATGTTGAATGTTGACAGTGGAGCACAACCTGGTATTGAGTACCATAGGGTGTTGAATGTTGACACTGCAGTACTATAGGATGTTGAATGTTGACAGTGCAGTACTACAGGGTGTTGACTGTTGACAGTGCAGTACTACAGGTTGTTGAATGTTGACAGTGCAGTACTATAGGGTGTTGAATGTTGACAGTACAGTACTATAGGGTGTTGAATGTTGACAGTACAGAACTATAGGGTGTTGAATGTTGACACTGCAGTACTATAGGGTGTTGAATGTTGACACTGCAGAACGATAGGGTGTTGAATGTTGACAGTACAGTACTATAGGGTGTTGAATGTTGACAGTGCAGTACTATAGGGTGTTGCATGTTGACACTGCAGAACGATAGGGTGTTGAATGTTGACAGTGCAGTACTATAGGGTGTTGAATGTTGACACTGCAGTACTATAGGATGTTGAATGTTGACAGTACAGTACTATAGGATGTTGAATGTTGACAGTGCAGTACTATAGGGTGTTGAATGTTGACAGTGCAGTATTATAGGATATTGAATGTTGACAGTGCAGTACTATAGGGTGTTGAATGTTGACAGTACAGTACTATAGGGTGTTGAATGTTGACACTGCAGTACAACAGGTTGTTGAATGTTGACAGTGCAGTACTATAGGGTGTTGAATGTTGACAGTGCAGTACTATAGGCTGTTGAATGTTGACACTGCAGAACGATAGGGTGTTGAATGTTGAAAGTGCAGAACGATAGGGTGTTGAATGTTGAAAGTGCAGTACTATAGGGTGTTGAATGTTGACACTGCAGTACTATAGGGTGTTGAATGTTGACACTGAAGTACTACAGGGTGATGAATCTTGACAGTGCAGTACTATAGGGTGGTGACTGTTAACAGTGAAGTACTACACGGTGATGAATCTTGACAGTGCAGTACAGCAGACCCCAGTGTCACCCCAGTGTGATCCCAGTTTAAACTCTCTGTAGCCAACTTACGGCTTCCTCCCTGATGACCAGTCTCTGCAGATCGGTGGCGCTCCTGTCAATGTCCGACTGCAGCTGTATGTCAGCAGTGTCATCTTCTCTGGCCAGATCCAGCTGACGCAGCTGCTCGGTAATATCCACACCTGCAGTTTAAGAGGAAACTACAGCAGTGTGATACAGATGGTCATGGTAGTTGTAGTGAGAATAGTGGCATCAACAGCTGTAGTAGTCTGACTGACTGACTGAGTTTAGTTTTACGCCGCTTTTAGCAATTTTCCAGCAATATCACGGCGGGGGACACCAGAAATGGGCTTCACACATTGTGCCCATGTGGGGAATCGAACCCGGGCCTTCGCTTTAACCACTAGGCTACCCCACCGCCCCAGCTGTAGTAGTAGTAGTAGTAGTAGTAGTAGTAGTAGTAGTAGTAGTAGTAGTAGTAGTAGTGTAGTAGTAGTAGTAGTAGTAGTAGTAGGAAGAGGGGGAGGAGAATGGCAGAGCTTATTATGTTCTTTCAAAACCTGATAAGTAAAATTTCAAGGGACTTGCCAAAATTGTTTACTTATCAGGTATTTTATTTATCCAAACTTATAAAAACCTGCAAATGACAACCATATGCATGTATATGTATGCATATGTAACAATGAACAACTTATCAGGGCTGGTGTCCAGTTGTCAGTGTATTGTCAACTGCTTGACGCGAGCAGGCTGTAAGTAGGATGTTTGTTTGACTGGAGACTGACACGACTGCCCCTCATGTCGGATTATGTGGTGATCACTAATTTAGTTATCCAGTCTCTTTTGTTAAGTAATTTACATCCAGGGACCACGAGAAGACGTTTGGTTAAGCGGTATTGTTTACTAATCAGAGTTTAGTTAACCGGACTCTAATAGTGATAATTAATTAAGAAAGTTGCCGGGACCGAAGAAAAGTGTTTACTTATCTGGTCTGTTTAGTCAAGCGGTCTTTACTTAGGCGGTTTCCACTGAACTATCAAAACAATTCCAAATCTTACATGCGGACAACTTGGAAATGTCAAATAATGATTCTAAGTTTTCAAATAACAATGACTATGAATATAACAGTGGAACCTCCCATCACCCACCACATGACAAACGAGGAATTACCATATTTGATCAAATTTCTTTCCTCAAACTGAGCAACGTGCACACGATGATATCATTTAACTTCCTTCTCTGATAAATAGATACTGGTAATCAGAATGAGGCCTGTAATTAGGACTGGACATGCTGAACGGTCACTGAAAATAACGTGAAGGTAACACAGAGCATACACAGCCTACAAAATATCACCTTGCTTGACCCATTGCTGAGGATTATTCTGTTACATATTTATAAAGGAACAGTTTTTAAAGAATTGAAGAAAAAAAACAAAAACTTTTGATTTGCTGCCTTTACAATGATATTATAACCAACAATGTGGTTCCTCCATTTTCTCTGTTACAGCCCTTGTGATTACAGAAGGAATATATTAAGCCATATTTCTAAAGTTTGAGACCCATGACGGGCCGGATTAGAATTAACCTTCACTAACCCATGCTTGTCGTAAGAGGCGACTAACAATATCAGGTGGTCAGACTCGCTGTCTTGGTTGACACGTCATCGTATCCCGATTGCGTAGATCGATGCTCATGCTGTTGACCACTGGATTGTCTGGTCGATTATTTACAGACCAACACCATATAGCTGGAATATTGCTGAGTGCGGAATAAAACTAAACTCACACACTAACTGGGCATAGAAGTCAAAATTTTCTCCAAAATACTGAATCGCCTAGAGGGGATGAACACTATACTCAAGAAAATATGATTTTATCATAATTATCAAATCTTAAACTTCACATTTCCCATTATGAAATTAATCATTAATCTTTACTAAATTAAAGATCCCTTGAAAATTTCATCCCTCGATTTCCTTCAATGAGAAAGTTGGGAGTTAACATGGATTGAGAAACCGGTAGAAATCTTTCATAAAGAATGCAGAAATTCTGACAAATTCTGTCATTTTACTGAGGGCAGTGGTGGGGTAGCCTTGTGGGTAAAGAGCTTGTTCGTTATGATGGAGATCCCGGGTTCAATTCCCCACATGGGTATAATGTGTGAAATTCACTGTAAGGTGTCTCTCACTGTGATATTCCTGCAATATTGCTAAAAGAAGCATAAAACTATACTCACAAATTTTTAAATATTACATTTTAGACTGTCAGATAATGGTAGTGAGGCCTATCTGTAAACCATGGAACTCACCTACTCAAGCTGGTACGTATCAATAGAGTAAACAATAAATGATTTAACACAAACAATAAATAATTCCTGTTTTGCAATAAATCATACTACTTTCATTTTCATGTGTTGGAGCTTTTATTGTGGACAACAACAAATTCAAAGATTCCCATTCTTTATCAAATAGCTATTTATACTTCAACTGGCTATTTTACTGTTCGGTGTGACTATTATTCTGCCTGAAATGATGTTATAATAAATCAAAGCCATGTTTAATATTAGGAGTCCAAATTTACTTCCAGGTAATTTACAAGCAGACAGAGTCAGAAAGAAATGTCAAATTATATGTCTATAGAAGGAACTTTGATATAGAATAGTTAAGTGTCATGCCTATGATAATTTGCATATGTCTTGCCTTAGTTGCCTATGATAATTTAGATCTGTCATGCCTATGATAATTTAGATCTGTCACGCCCATAATTTAGATCTGTCGTGCCTATGATAATTTAGATCTGTCGTCCCTATGATAATTTAGATCTGTTGTGCCTAAAATAATTTAGATCCATCGTCCCTATGATAATTTAGATCCATCGTCCCTATAATTTAGATGCATCGCCCCTATGATAATATAGATCTGTCGTCCCTATGATAATTTAGATCTGTCGTGATAATTTAGATCCATCGTCCCTATGATAATTTAGATCTGTCGTGATAATTTAGATCCATCGTCCCTATGATAATTTAGATCTGTCGTCCCTATGATAATTTAGATCTGGCGTGATAATTTAGATCCATCGTCCCTATGATAATTTAGATCTGTCGTCCCTGTGATAATTTAGATCTGCCGTGCCAATGATAATTTAGATCTGTATGATAATTTAGATCTGTCGTCCCTGTGATAATTTAGATCTGTCATCCCTATGAGTATGATAATTAAGTCATGACTGACATACTAGTCTGTCTCACTGCCCTTGAACCACATTATTTTCCCTTCTGCCTGGCCCTTTCTGCAATGCTACAGTCCTAAATGAAGCAAGTCTAGATTCACTCAGGTTCAGGCTACCTTCTGGTTGGGGCTCCTTTTCAATTTAAATGGGATTATTTGTCACTATCAAAATCATGTATATATTCAGAGACTATAAGCCTTAGTCTACTGACATATACGTTCATGGATGAGATGTACATGTATATATTAAATAATATATCTTAACCCTGCTGAAATCTACGTCAGCACTAAAAAACATCTTATTTCTAAAACAGGGCCCTACACAGACCAAGCCGAGGCCTGACACCACACACGACGTACCCTCCCCTCCAAAAGAAAACAGCACCACACCCACCCAGCCCCCTCCTCTCGCGGCACATGTTGGCACCCACCTATTGTAAATATGTTATTACTAAACAATAGTTTTTCATCGTTATTTCATAGTAAAAGACAGTGTCGCATTTTCTAAATGATCGATACTAATTTATAAATAACGAAAGAATATATAATTTCTAAAGGTGTGATGGAACAATCTAAAAATAGCATCGTGGGAAAAGCCCTGTTTTCCTTTTTCAAATGAAGAAAAAGAATGATTTACCACTTTCGGGGGGTCCCTTCACAACCTCTTCGTGATCCAGGCTATCCTGAGGCATGGTTTTATCGGGTTGTCACTTTCAGCAGAAAATCACAAACGGCACATTTGTAGAATCAACTCGTCAGTGTCCAGCACCTCTACGCGTGTCTTATAGAAAACTTCCGGATTGAAAAACTGGTTCCCGGATCCTACGCTTGGTGGTGTCGCTGCTTCACACTCTTAGCTGGTTTCCGACGATATTGCGATATCAGAGACGGAGCCCAGCGCACCGCTTTGACCCACTTTGATGACAAGCTCCTCACAGCCTATACGGAGCTAAAAGGAGATCGAATGGGAAACGCATTGAGTAAGAGCTTGCAGTCGAACATTTGCGTAACCTGAAATAATTATGAGATGTACTTCCACGAATGCGCGATACAAAAGAATTCGTTCATTTCCGTACAAAAGAATAAAACGACCAAAGTATCATTCAACATCCCTGTGTACATTGCCTTCAAACGTACATGAGTCATTTGCGGAAAGTCTAACTTTAGACGTATAGAAATACAAAGTCTAGTGCAATATCTATTCTTCAACATTATATTTCGTCGGTTTAGCCTACAGGCTACGCCTCGTGATGAAAGACAATCTGTTGTCATCGAGCATTGACGTTTCGCCATTATGGAGCGGCCTTTGGCCATACGCAATGCCATATGGCCTCATCTGTATATGGTTTAGAAACGTTAACATTATTTTTTCCCAGAACACGAAAGCATGTGGCTCGATAGGCTTATGAATTAAGTATATCGTACCTTTATTTATGAGGATGAAAAACAGTATTTTAGTATTGCTTTCATTAAAACAAATACACTGGATGCTTTGGACCCGTGAAGATCCGATTAGAATTGATCTTACCAACCCATGCTTGTCGTAAGAGGCGAGTAACGGGATCGGGTGGTCAAGCTCGCTGACACATGTCATCGTATCCCAGTTGCGTAGATCCATGCTCATACTGTTAATCACTGGATTATCTGGTCCACACTCGATTATTTACAGATCGAGGCCATATAGCTGGAATAATGCTGAGTGCGGCTTAAAACTAAACTCATTTGAACTCACTGGATGCCTTGAATTAACATTCAGGTGCCAAAACGCCATATTGTTGAAACTGGTCGACCATTTAACGCAGAGTTAAGGACATACCAAGCAGGCTCAGCTAACGCTATTACCAAGATCTACGTTTTAATATTAATTCATATATATTCGGGAGCACCTTTAGAATGAATCACCACAACTTCACGTGCGGACGGTGTCTGTCGTAGGTCACATGTCACTGAGACAAGAAACCAGTGTTTTGGGACGTGAAACCGTTCCATCGTGTACTTTCAACGTTTTTCAGTGTAAAAAGTAGTGAAAATGCGAACACAAAAATATTTAAAAATACCCAACAAACGCATCTGCTCCCATCCTTTAAAACTACAAAAGAAGACCTGGGTACAAACGCCTTTCAACCCTTGTGGTGAAATCGTTTGCTCGTCTAGAAGAAGATCCGGGTTCGATTTTCCACATTGGTATACAATGTCCCCCGCCGCGATAATCCTGGAATATTGCTAAAAGCAGCGTAAAACTCACTCACTCACTCTTTCGGTCATTCCATGGTGGAACTGTCAGTTACATGTGTCATGTGACATATCAGAAGACACGAGGGTGAGATTCTATTTATCATAAAGAATCACTCTTCATTAGTTTTCAATGGAAAATGTACATCTCTGAACACGGTACTTTAGGCTTGCAGTGCAGCGATGTCATAGCACTGTGACGTCAAGTTTATCACGTCATAGCATTGTGATGTCATCAGTTTTAGACGTCATAGCATTGTGAGTCATGTAACTGATGATGTCAAAGCATTGTGATCTCATGTAATTGATGACGTCAGGGCCCTGTACAAAAATCTATTCTCACACAAGCAATATCTCCAGTGGAACACAGTTTTGGATGATAAACAGGTTTTTTGTGTAGATACAATCTCTTTCGGCAGTACAGTAACTCGATATGATTTCCTTGGTCATGATGCATTGGATTACCTTAAACATATTCTTCTAGCCTTGTAAGTTATACCTATACGACCGAGGTGCACCGACATATCTCACACTCTACAAGTGCCCGTGGTCACGTGGGCACATTCTGAGAATGCCATGCTATGGACTTTCCCTGTCAAGAACATGGTCAGCAGAAATAGGGGGTGTATTTTGCTGGTAAGAATGTTCCGAGTATAACCTTCCGCATTCGTGGTGAAGTATAAGAATGAGTTGCGGGTGCTGTACACACCCAATGATATCCCAGTATAGTCTGTTTGCAGTGAAAACGTACCGGTGAATTTCACTGTAAACAAAAATGTAAATAGAATAAAGTGAAATTAAGATTGCGAATCCTCATAATTCTACCTTGCCAATTGAAAATTTAAATCTTACATTTTTATTCAACTTAGGAAAAAAGTTGTTTAACAAACGATCATAGTTTCAAATCCCTTATATTGGTTTGTATTACAAGGGGTAAGCGCAGTAGTGGGAACAGTGAAGCAAATGCACGTGCGGTACGTGATGAGCGTTAACTTAGACCAAACCTCCTTGTTCTCGGTGTTTCATTTTATGTGCATACCCCCCTTGTAATACAAACCAATAATACCGATTTGAAACTATGATCGTTTGTAAACAACTTTTATCATAGTGAAATTCAATTCACTTTTAAAGTGAAATTCATCGGTACGTTTTCACCGCAAACAGACTATAATGCATACGAGGTGTGAGCGGAGGTGGTTATCACATTAAGTGAGTGAGTGAGTTTGGTTTTACGCCGCTTTTAGCAATATTCCAGCAATATCACGGCGGGGAACACCAGAAAGGTTATCACATTAATGTGAAAACACAAGCCTAAATATAACATACGTTACACATGTACCTGTGTTTATATATCGGAAATACGGGATACGCTTTTGGTAGAAGTTAATAAATATGGGAATTATATTCGTTCGTGTTGCCTGTTCACGGAAAAAAAATCAAACGCTAGTTCACTTCAAAAACACGATTTAGATGAAATTTACTTCTCGTCCCAACATAATCTACTTTCCATTCCCGACACTTGACGGTTATTCACTCTGACGTTAATTAATCTCGAATACCGGTTTGGATTCGGCTGTCCCTGTGGTCTAGTGGATAGAGCGACTGTCTGGTCAGCGGGGGTTCGATCCCACCTACGTAACATCAAATGACGTAGAAATATGGTACTTGTTGCTTTCCTATCTTGTGCTCGTCATTAAAGGGATGAAAAAATATTATTCCGCTTCGGAGTCAGTATTCTGGGTCTGAGTGGGGTATCCATGGTAACTCGTGACACGGTATCCATAGTAACCGGCGACATGGCGTCTTAGCTCTCTATCACTACGAATACAACCACACAAGCTTGGCATGCACGACCCCATCTAATCCAATACACACGGACGTGTCGCTAAATAAACTTAATGTTTTTATGGCGACGTTAAACTTCATTTCCCCTCACTCTGGGTCCCCGTCCCAGCAATTGCCTTATAAGGATATGCGTCCGTGTTTACTTGTAGACAACACAACGACAAAAAAAGCCAATAAGGACACTGTTTATTACAGGATTTCCTGGTCAGATTTCAGTATAATTCTGTCTCAGTAATCTTCCAGTACATGCGTTAAATCAAGATAAAAATGAGATGTGATGATTCAGTAATATATGTACGCAATGGCTGGTGAAGTAGATGGTGTTGCTATGGTTACCATGGCCTCGAGCCTCGTCTCATAATTATAGTCGCCATGGGCGTGGTCAAAAGAGGTGACGTTTTAAAGCGTGTATTTCCCCTGATTATATTCAATATAGCTGAGACTATATATGGTCCTTGAATCCTATGAGGCACGCTGACTAGTTGACACATGTCATCGTGTCCCAATTGCGTCGATCGATGCCCCTGCCGTTGATCACTGGATTGTCTGGTCCACACTCGATTATTTACAGAACGTCGTCATATCGCTGGAATACTGTTGAGTGCGGTGTTAAACAACAAACAATCACAACTGTATAAGGATGGCCTCGGTCGAAAGTGTCTTATTTCACAGCTGTATAAGAATGACCTTAGTCAAATAAGTCATTTTTTCACAGCTGTATAAGAATGACCTCAGTCAAATAAGTCATTTTTTCACAGCTGTATGAGAATGACCTCAGTCAAATAAGTCATTTTTTTCACAGCTGTATAAGAATGACCTCAGTCAAATATGTCATTTTTTTCACAGCTGTATAAGAATGACCTCAGTCAAATAAGTCATTTTTTCACAGCTGTATGAGAATGACCTCAGTCAAATAAGTCATTTTTTCACAGCTGTATAAGAATGACCTCAATCAAATAAGTCATTTTTTCACAGCTGTATAAGAATGACCTCAGTCAAATATGTCATTTTTTTCACAGCTGTATAAGAATGACCTTAGTCAAATAAGTCATTTTTTCACAGCTGTATGAGAATGACCTCAGTCAAATAAGTCATTTTTTCACAGCTGTATAAGAATGACCTCAATCAAATAAGTCATTTTTTCACAGCTGTATAAGAATGACCTCAGTCAAATAAGTCATTTTTTTCACAGCTGTATAAGAATGACCTTAGTCAAATAAGTCATTTCTTCACAGCTGTATAAGAATGACCTCAGTCAAATAAGTCATTTTTTTCACAGCTGTATAAGAATGACCTTAGTCAAATAAGTCATTTTTTCACAGCTGTATAAGAATGACCTCAGTCAAATATGTCATTTTTTTCACAGCTGTATAAGAATGACCTCAGTCAAATAAGTCATTTTTTCACAGCTGTATGAGAATGACCTCAGTCAAATAAGTCATTTTTTCACAGCTGTATAAGAATGACCTCAGTCAAATAAGTCATTTTTTCACAGCTGTATGAGAATGGCCTCAGACAGACTAACAACTAGACTCTGAAATGAACATATTTTACAGAAAAAGAATTCATAGTACAAAAAGTAAAATATAATGAAAAGGAGCCCTGAGACTTTCTTCATTTTCAGAAGCTGTGGAAATCTAGACTTGCCACATTTTCTAGGTTTGCGTGGGCTTTCTTGGATATATTTGCTTCAGGGTCTGTACGACAGACTAGGCCTCAGTCGAATGAGTCTATTTCACCGCTGTATGAAAATATGTTAAATACATTACGAGAG